GAAAAGTACTTTGCTTCTTTTACTTGCTTGATGACTTTGCTTCTTACGTTTTCTCCCAAAATTTCTATAAACTCGTTCTGAATAGTAGGAGACAGATAGGAAGTAGCAAACAGCTTGATCTAAAATCACGGTACAATGACACTAGTATCAATGTAATACAATGGAAATGTAAAAAGTAGCAACTTAATCTAAAATTACAGACTCAGAGTACAGTGAAAATGGATGTCACATAAGCCACGAAAGGCACCCAGAAGCCCCCCAGACGAAAGCCACCCAGACAAAAGTCCCCTACTTTGATCGGGGTGGCTTTTGTCTGACAACCCTAACCTAACCCAACCTAACCTAACCTAACCCAACCCTAACCTAACCAATAATTAACCACAGAGAAGAACAGTATATTTTACCCTCAACTATTTAATTATGTCCGTAACTTTTGAAAGCCCTTACTGTTGTCAGACAAAAGCCACCCCGATCAAAGTAGGGGGCTTTTGTCTGGGTGGCTTTCGTCTGGGGGGCTTTTGTCTGGGTGGCTTTTGTCTGGGGGGCTTTTGTCTGTACCCCAGTGAGGATAGTGTCTTAGTATAAAATCGCAATGCTGTGAAACAAAATCTTAATATTTAATCTCAGTACCGCAGCAAAAGTCACATCAATATTTTTTAACCAATACTTTAATATTTCTTACCTTATAGTATTATGTCTTCCAACAAAGTAAATAACTGGATCGAAAACACAAGAGAACTTAAAAGTCGTCTAGCCTCCCCTCGTCTTGTCACGATGGAGACTTGTGCAGAACTGAAGTGAATTGCTTGTAACCGGTGGATTGGTCAGCTGTACATGAACTTATATGACCCGAGACTGCATGGTTTTGCAGCTACTGGAGACGTTAATCCTTCCCTTTGTATGGGCGGCAAGTTAATCCTCGTCGTGTCTGACCTAACACCTGACCCACACCACATGAGCTCACTGGCATACTTGTTTGAAGTTGTTTCCTTAATCCTCAACAGGTTACAGGTTGTGTGTGTGGCGGGGGGGCGCATAGCAAGGGTGTAGCTCATGACGTGGCCGTGATGATGTGGGTCAGGTGTTAGGTCAGACACGACAAGGATTAACTTGCCGCCGATACAAAGGGATGGATTAACGTCTCCAGTAGCTGCAGATATGGGTGATGAGCAGACCCAAAAGTGCCGCCCGGGGCGGACCGCCCCCCCCCCTAGCTACGCTAGTGCATAGATATCGGCATAGCCAGCAACATAAGTAAATTTGCTGATGACACTAAAATAGGACGTGTAATTAAATCTGACGAGGACTCTGCAAAACTACAGGAAGATCTAAACAAATTTTTCGAATGGTCGGAAAAATGGCAGATGAAATTCAATGTGGACAAATGTAAAGTACTCAGTATAGGAGATGTAAACAGGGAAACTAGTTACCAGATGAACAACGATGCCATTGTGGAATCCAACTGCGAGAGAGATTTAGGAGTAATGATAAGTAGGAATCTTAAGCCAAGTAAACAATGTGTTTTTGCTCGTAACAAGGCTAATAAAGACTTGGGTTCATACAAAGGAGTGTTAGTTACAAGACTAGCGAGGTCATCTTAAAATTATATCTAGCGCTTGTGAGACCTCACCTGGATTTTGCAATTCAGTTCTGGTCACCGTATTACAGAATGGATATAGAATCATTGGAAAGAATCCAGAGGAGAATGACAAGACTAATCCCGGGCATTAGGAACCTTGAATACAGAGACAGGTTAAAGCATCTTAATTTGCACTCCCTCGAGAGACATAGAGTGAGGGGCCACATGATAGAGGTGTATAAATGGAAGTCAGGGTTAAACAAAGGGGACATTACAAAGGTACTCAAACTATCCAACCAGGAGCGAACCCGTAACAATGGTTTTAAATTAGACAAATTTAGATTTCGGCGTGAAATTGGTAAACACTGGTTTGGAAACAGAGTAGTGGATGAGTGGAACAAGTTACCAAATATCATCATTAACTCGAATACGCTGAATAGCTTCAAACATAGGTTGGATGCTTATATGAGCAATAGGGGTTGTGTATAAACGGGACTGCCCAGTATGGGTCAATAGGCCCGCTGCAGTTTCCTCCATTCTTATGTTCTTATGTTCTTATGTGTGTATTATAGCTGAATCGCCAGGCAAGAGAAGAGGTTCGCAGTGCGCATAGTGGCTAGATGAAGGAAGGACTTTGAAAATAGCAATTAAATGCCAGGTAGCGACGTGTCCTCCTAATATTACTTATTAAGTAATTATTAGATGTTTTAATTGCCTGTATGTTGGCCTGGCGAATTGGCTAGGAATTAACATACCTAGGTAAATCAGGCAAATAAATTATTGGGTCTTATAAGAAGGTCGTTCAGATATCTAGACGGTCCGTCCCTCGTGACGATCTTCAGGAGTGAAGTGCTTCCCCATCTGGAGTACTGTCACCCCATCTGGTCCCCGAGATATGCTAGGGACTGTCAGTTGGTTGAAAATGTTCAAAGGAGGGCCACCAAGCTGGTGCCTGCACTTCGGCATCTCAGCTACCCTGCGAGATTGGAGCGCCTGAACTTGCCTAGCTTATACTACAGACGGGCAAGGGGGGACCTAGTTGAGGTTTATAAGCATCTCAGGGGGCACTACTCAGTTGAGTGTCCTTACTTGGAGCTGGCGGACGCTCGCCCCACAAGGGGTCACAGCTCAAGATTGAAGAAGCCGCAAGTCCGGAAAACCGTGAGGGCAAACTTTTTCGGAGTGAGGGTTGTAAACTCTTGGAACAATCTACCAGAAAGTGTTGTGACGGCACCGAGTGTGAGCTCTTTCAAGAGAAGACTTGACCAACACTGGAGCGGGTTCAGGTACATTCAGGAGCCGGTGCATGCCCAGTATTTGCCAACAGTGCGTGACAGAGACGTGACCGATCGCCCGGGCGGCTAGCGAGCCGACCTTTTGGTGAAGAATATAAAGGAAAAGAGTCGTGACCGATCGCCCAAGCGGCTAACAAGCCGATCAGTGGCGAAGAGGATAAAAGTAAAAGTAAAAGTAGGTAGCATTTGCTGAGCGTCGCATTCGAGCTTGAACAAAAATATGTTTTTTACTTTCTAACAGAGTGTGGTGTGACTGCAAATTTACCATAACATATACAGTATATCGTTTCGCACTCATAATTTGTTTTATTTTTTCCATTTCTGTATTCACTGTAAAAGAAATATTTAATCCCCCCCACCCCATTCCTGGATGTGGGTTGGTGACCTGTGCCCGGGTGGCCTAAGCCTCGTAAAAGAAAAAAAAAGAGAGAGAGAGAGAGAGAGAGAGAGAGAGAGAGAGAGAGAGAAAGAAGAAGAGGAAACATGACTAGCGTCTTCTCCATCTGTCTATTCCCTTTAAAAAATCTTGAGGCATTCAGTTCCCTTCTCCCCAAATCATGATATTCTAGAAGCAGTCTCACAGAACGCTGTTGCCATCTCCTTGGTGATATAGCATCATGGCTTCCCAACTGATTCATTTTGATCCTCAACTGAAATCTCCTCAACCAACACCACTGCTTCCAACTCCTTCAAGTGCTCATTTGATAGCTCAGCCCCATGTAACTCGATAAGGTCTCCCACATCTCCAATATCGACCTTCAGTTGTAGGTCCTGGGCAAGCGTGACAATTTTGTCTGTTACCTCCTCATAAGTTTCGTCAGTTTCGAAACCTTTAAAACTGTGTATGAACTGGGGACGCATCTTCTTCCATGCCCCATACAGGCTTAGAAGACGTCTGCCCAAGCCTTAGCAATATTCTGGATGGCTTGGTAGATATTATAGGACTTTCAAAACTCTTGTAAGACCTTGAAATTAGCTTTGACCCCTTGGTCCATGGGCTGGAGGACTAAAGCTGTGTTGGGAGGGAGAAACACATCCTAAGTGTTTGGGTCAAAATCATCTAAATGTGCCAGGTGGTCAGGAGCATTATCGATGAGAAGTAAAATATTAAATGGGATGCCCTTGTGTGTACTGTACAGTATTTTTCCACCTCAAGAAATTAAAGTAAAATTCCATAGCTAAAGTCATCTGTAACCTAAGGGGTGTCTGTAAGTACATAACTTACAAGAATTTATAAGATCCCATCTAATGCATCTCAAAATATTTGTCTCTGCTGTACCCCCTTTCCCTCCCTGTTGGGGTTAACAAATATACTCTTCTTTTTGTGTTATTGTTAAAGTATCTTATATCACTGTACTGTATATGATTGTCTTATTTAATGGAACACAGATGAAATAAGGTACTGTACTGTAAATATTGGTAGAACATGGGAAACCATCCCAGGAAAACAAATTTTCCTCCAATTAGTGTAATTTAGTGAGGAATTACTGCAGGTGTTAGTGATGAAGAAGTTCTAAGACTGGGTAACAGTAAAGACAGAATCACACAGTATGGTCACAAGTGATGTTTCCTCTGCTTTAAGGTGAAAATTTTTGTGGTAGAACCTATCACTAAAAGTCAACAGATACACAACGGTGCCATAAAAGTACAGGGTACCATTAACAATATCACAGTTTAGAAGTGAGATGTATAGGTCAACATGTGAAGAATATTTATATCAAAATTATGCAACATATGATAGTGTGCTTGAGAGATTAGTTATCCAAAGGAATTTAAATACTGAAGTGAGATGTACTGGTATTGGATCAACTGTGATTCTAAATATTTAAATAAGCCAGTTAAGAACATATGTGTTTATAAATATCCAAGTGAAGCAGATAAGACCAAGAATTTGTGAAGACCAAAAAATTTTGTGAATAGAGTCGAGTATGAGAGTCAGCTGAGGAACATAAAGTTTATATGACTAACACTTGTAGAGAGTGTGAGAAATGTCTTTTAGTTACTGATGAACACAATACAGTAGTTATTTCATAGTACAGTATAGTACAGTAATACAGTATATCCTTTTATTGTGTACCTTTGATAACACAGCATTTCTCTTGATAAAAACATTTCTTTTTTGACAGGCACTCACTTTGTCGTCATCTGCCAGACAAAATTCAACCGTGGGCGAGATTGTCAACTTAATGGCTGTAGACTCGCAGAGAATGAGTGACTTTCCTTTGTTTTCCAACTTGCTCTGGTCAGGTCCTCTGATCATCTTAGTTGCTCTATATGAACTTTGGCAAATACTTGGTAAGAAGAGATTTTTCTTTGTGTGTGTGTGTGTGTGTGTGTAAATGATATACAGGTACCCCTCAATTAACGAATGTTCGTAATATGAAAATTCGCTTAAAAGGATTTCCCAAATTTCTCCCACTTATATAAATTTGGGTCCCAGTAAATATTCAAATGCACACCCATAGGAGTCAGCTGGGTTGGCCATCTTGGAGAGATAGATAGAGAAGTATTCTCATTCAATGATCATAACAATGACAAAAACAACAACCTCCCTCCTCCCGCCAGCCCACGTCTTTCGTTCCACCATTTCCCACCTCCTGTGGTGAACCCTAACTGCCATCCCTCAAGGTAATCTCTTCTGCCATTCAGTTCATTTGTTTGAATTCACATCCCTCTAGCCCTCTTCCTCCTAGGTCGAGCTGTAAGCTACATTATGGTTATTATGTAACTTGTAATTTTGGGTAGATTAACTTAGCTTTCTTCATATATTTTTTTTTAAAGTTATTTCCATGCACACACAATCCTTTGTATATAATGTGAAAAAGTAAAAGAAATAACTATCATGAGGTAAAAAATATAAAAGGAATAAACATTTCTTACTATGCAACAGTTAGCATGCTGAGTAGGGGAGCGGAGGCATCATCCAAGTTGGGCTGAGGTGCTATGTTGAGCTTTGAGGTCATGTGGCTGCATCTTATGGAAATGATGTTTGTATTAAAATATCATTTAGCTTTTCTTTAATGATTTTGGCTGCAAATTTTCATCTTGATAGTATTTTATTAATGATTTTTATGCATTAGGTAGTAAATTACAGTTGATAGGTACTATTTTTCGTTGGTCAGGTAGGATTTTTTTTTTTTTTTGTGAACCGATTTCAAGTTTTGGAGGTACAGTATAATATTGGGGTTTTCTTGTTGTTAGAGAACCTAACCCTATTTTGTCCCATTTGTTCTATTTTTTGAGATATGGAAATTCACTTTATGAATAGTTTTTCAGGAGCCTTACCTATTTCTTAAGTGAAGGACACCTGTACATATATTGAATGTCAGGTAAGAGTGTAGGCTACCCCCTTGTCAAGATGAGCTCTGTCAGCAGAAGTTTTTGGTCTGGATGTATCTCAACTTAAATTCCAGCATCCTATCTTTACCTCTTCCATCATGTTTGTCAGCATATTTGGTCATTTCTGTGAACTATTTTAAGTTTTCTGTTCATAATTTTCATGAACATCCAACTTTTCTACTGTATCATTTAAAAAGGAGAAGAAATAAGCCTTGCCTTCTCAGGACTACAGTCCTGTAAAAAGTGAAGCAAAAATGGGATATTATTCAACAGGCAAGAATCTTAACAACAAATCTGAATTCATTCTTTCAGAGCATTTTCATTAAGTCTAGATCATGCAGTCTACCCAGTGTTAGTACAGGAAGAAACTGGAGTCTTGGAAACTTGTGATATTTGGTATAGTCACACTAGATAACACACTTTTCATGTGTGTTTGAGCCAAGCAGGACTCAAACCCTTGACATATTAGTGAGAAATAGCACGTTACTGCTGTATAACCAACACCCTACCACTGTACCACAAGGAACTCTTAATCTTGAAGCATAAAAAATAGAAGGTTCAGTGAAAAAAAATGGACTCTGATGGCTCATATACTGTACATGGAGAAGTAGTGGAGGCAAATGCAACAGTGCAGAATCAAAGGGGAACAACAAGTCGACCCCAAGCCCCATGACCTCCCACTCAATGTGTAAATAACTATACAATACAGTATATTTCACCACACCCATGACCAATACTCAATGTGTAAATAAATATACAATACAGTCAACCCTCACTTTACGCGGTTATATGTTAATATAACCCACAGGGTACCGCGGAAAGTGAGAAACGCGTAAAGTGAACAACATAACATATGGGATTAAATGAAATAGAGACCGGCTGACCCCCAAACTCCACTTTTTCCGACACAATACCTATGTTCTAGTAAAAATAACATCTTAATTTTATGATGGTACATACACACAATTAATACTTAAGAGAAATAGAGAAATACAGTCGCCAAGTTAATGTCCATTCAAATAATGGACTCAACTCCCTCCCCCTCTTCTCACACTACACTCGCTGGCTCTTCCCTCTCTGAGAAACTTTTGGGGGAAAACCACTACATTTTAAGGTATAGTAATAAATAATACCTCAAACTAAAGTTAGGATAATATAATTGACATTGCTGGATTCCTTGTAAGACCAGGAATATTTTGAATATAAATGCCATATATTTTGCACAAAAGATAACATATTTACTCAGAGTAAACAAGATACTTACATTAGATCTAAAATTTGTATGTCTAATGCAAAATCTATGATGTTTATATTCAAAATGATCATCAAATTGTAAGAATTCCAGCAATGTAAATTATATTCTGGCCAGGTAATTTGTATGAATTTTATGAGCTAAAACAAATATCTTCAGTTAATAAAAAAAAAATATTCTTCACAACACTATCTGTCAATCAAAGTACCCCACCTTGCCTCCCCCCCCTCTTCCAACCGCGCCAGATGGTCGGTCGGTCCCAACCCTCCCCCCCTCCCCCCCACCCCCCACCTTCCCTCCCTACCAGAGAAATGTTGGGTGAAAAAACTAGATTTTAACTTTTAGTAATAAATAATAACTCAGACTAAAGTTAGGATAATATAATTGACATTGCTGGATTCCTTGTAAGACCAGGAATATTTTGAATATAAATGTCATATATTTTGCACAAAAGATAACATATTTACTCAGAGTAAACAAAACACTTACATTAGATCTAAACTTTGTATGTCTAATGCAAAATATATGATGCTTATATTCAAAATGATCATCAAATTGTAAGAATTCCAGCAAGGTAAATTATATTCTGGCCGGATAATTTGTATGAATTTTGAGCTAAATAAAAAAATTATACTTCACCCGCGTAAAGGGGTACACGCACCGCGGAATGTGAGCAACCTGGGTTCTGGCAGGGTACCGTGTAAACGTGGAAACGCGGAATGTGGGACCGCGTAAAGTGAGGGTTGACTGTACAGTATATTTCACCACACCCATGAGTCCATGACCTAAACAATATGGTTAATAGAATAAACAAGGCAGCTGTTAAAATGAAACTATTTCCAATTTGAAAGTCGTGTACACAAGCACTGACACTTTCCTCGACAAGAGTGCAGAGTTTAAAAACATCCAGCAAGACCCATCAGCCTGACATCGTAGGTGTTGTGGAACTGTTGTATAAGAACAGGAAGGTCTTCCTGTAGACCATTACAGGAAGATCTCTTTTGGCTTCTAGGGTGGTCAGAAGAATGGATGTTAAGACACAATGTTGTGAAATGCAAAAGGATGCACCTTTACCCTTTCCGCTTTAAGCTCGTCCATAAACCCCGCCCCTCATATATAGCTACAAATAGCTGATTGATTCCCCTGAGGTTTTTACCCTCCCCTGGACTGAGCGTGTATAAGCTCATATTTACTGTATATTGACCTTTTATGATAAATATTTAAAAATTTCTAACATCCTCTCTGAAGTGCTAATGCCTTGAAATCATTTGCATTTTGATAGTTCAGATATTTAACATTATTTTAGATAATAACAGGTCTGCTTATTAATTGTGAACACATTTAGTTGAAAATTTCTATGAACCAATCGAGTATTAGAAGAGAGGTGTGGCTTGTGGGTCAGGTTAGCGTGGAAATACTATACCGTATGTCGTATCAATAGCAAGGAGGCCTATCACATGTCCCAACATGATAAAGAAATATCAATAACCGAGACCAAATGTAAAAGCAATCTGGATGTGTAAGTTTATAACGATGTTTTTGGGTCATTGTGAGAGAAAAGCAAATCATTCAAATACAGTAAGTTACTCTTAATAGGTCATATAAGAAGGGTGTTTACATACCTTTGTGATTACTCCCTCATAACACTCTTCAAAAGAGAGGTGCTTCTCCATTTGGAGTACTATCATGCCATCTGGTCCCTGAGATATGTTAGAAACTGTCAATTGGTTGAGAATGTCCAAAAGAGGGCTACCAGACTTTTTTTTTTTTTACAGGGAATAGCCCACTTGGGCACAGGTCATTGACTCACAATGGGGCCTGGGAGGTGAAAAAATAAGAGTAAAAAAATTAAAAATAGAACAGAAAAAGACTACGGTATATGAATCTACATCACAGAGATGCCGGAAAACCAGCTTTTTGAAGTGTGAAACAGATTGTATGAGTATGGAAAAACAGAAGGAGGCAGAGCATCCCACAGTTTGGCTGTGTGAGGAAAGAAGGAGGTACTAAAACGAGTTCTTCTAGTGTCACTGACATCCACACAGAAACAGTGGGCAAGACGAGTGTTACGAGCCCACGGCCATGGCGGTGGTACACAGGATGCCAAAAGTACCTGTAAAAGAGTGAGAGTGAAGCAACATTGCAGTGAAGAGAAAGAGAAGAAAGATTTATCAATTAAAGGAGGAGAGTTAATGAGACAAAATGCCATTGATTCCACCCTATCTAACAGTTAGACAGAAGAAGAGCCACCCTACAGTAGATATGAGAGTAGTACGTACTCTAAGTTAGGATGAATGAATCCCTTATAAACTTCAAGCAACTGCTCAGGAGTGAAGTAGCTACGGCATCTGTACAGCATTCCCAGCTTTCGGGAGGCAGCTTTAGCAATGTTGTGGATGTGTGGCTTCCATGATATTTTAGAGGAATTGGTGAGGCCAAGCATTTCTATTTTAAAATTTGGTAGAATGATTGCATCCCAAAAGTTGATTGGTGGGAGATATTCTATTTTGGAAAGTGTAATTGGTAAATACTGTGTTTTATTACTATTGAATTTAGCTAAGTTTAGAAAGCAAAGACTTGTGCCATACCCTGTCACATGCTTTAGAGATGTTGAGGGCCACAACGAAAGTTGTCCCCATAATCCCTAAGAGTGGATGACCAAAGATGGGTGCAGTAGGAGAGCAGATCACCAGTAGAACCGACAAAAGAGAAAGGCATTCAAGGTGATGGAGAAAATGATAGTTTAAGATAGTTTCAAAAAATCTCAGAGAAGGATGAAGTTAGGGCAATGGAGCGATAGTTTAAGTGATTAGAATGGTAACCCTTCTTCGGGATGGGATGGACCGAGGCATACTTCCAATGTCGTGATCCCAATATCCCTTATACCTGGGGAGTGAAACCTACCCCAAGTTATCATCAAATAAAGGAACAAACAGAGAACACGGCAATAATTATCCCCACAAAAACCGACTCAACTGAATGTACTTGAATAAATAAGAATAAGTTGGAGTAAGTGAGTCACAAATGGGAAGATAATTAAATAATTAAATTTACATTCTTAAAGGAGTACTGTCTAGCAACCATGGAATTTAAGGGGATAAGTGATTGTATATTAAAATAAGAGTGATGCCGGAAGGGTTGAAAATATACCGTTAAGGAGTTAAATAAAATGAATACAGTACTACTTAACATTAACTATATTAAACACAGACACCACAATATATACACAGCAATCACAACCAACTAGTTATTTCCTACCAAATAGGAGATTCCTTAACACCAGGATCCCTTCCTAGGCCTAAGTTAACGTGCCACTAATTACAGGTAGTTCTGCTATAACGCGATAATTGTGTTCTTGTAAAATATCGTGTTATAGAAAATCGCGTAATAGAAATAACAGGGCTTATGGAGAAAATAGGGTTAGGTGCAGATTACTCGAAATCGAAAAAATTTAGTAGTTAGCCTAACACAAAGGATAGCACAGTCTAAATAAATGTTACATTCATATCTAATAATGAAATCATACAGTAAATTTAACACTTTACCTTGAAAAAATATGAATGTAACTTGATGGGGGAGAAGGGTGATTTTGAGGTTGATAACATCAAGCTTCTCTTCAAGTGTTATATCCTTTCTTTTATGATAATCACCGGGAATTCTATCATCAGAATGCTTTTTGGAGATATTCTTCTTTACCATATTCACAGTTAATACCACAAAATTGGAGAAATAGTAAGCAAAAATCGCGTTATAGCAAACATGCGATCGCGTTATACAAATATTGTCCCGAATTCATAAATCGCGTTAGAGCAAATTCGCGTTATCAAAACACGCGTTATAGCAGAACTCACTGTACCAGATACCACTAGGGTATTGTAGATGACTGAACAAAGCACGTCTGTACTGGGTCGGTGTGGACACGTCCTGCCTATAGCCTATACCAACGGTTACTAGAGAGAGTCTCTGGCCACCCAGCATATGAGTGAGGAGCGTCTTAGCTCACGTGACTCAGGACAGTTGCCAAATAGTCTATAACTAATTAATACTACTCTTGGTTTGGCTTAACAGAGTAACACAAATGATGCATATTAATGACATATATAGATATACAATTAACCTAAGTAACTAAGAACAACAATAAGATAATAGTAGAAATAACAAGTTATTAATAGCTTGTGTGGAGTGGAGGCGTAAGCAGATACCACACAACATGCGTGTTGCTATGGGGTTACAGGCACACGACACCAAGAAGAAGGAAAAGTTTGGGTTTTGAGGCAAAGGCAAAAGAGGTGAGCAAGTACAGGGGCCAGAATTTCAGCACACTTCCTCAGAACATGAGGGGGTATTCCGTCCGGTCCATGGGCCTTACTCACATTCAACCTGGATAACACACCAGCACCCCTACGAGTGGAGATTATAGGAAAGTGCATAGGTACAGTAGGAGGAGCAGGACTAGGAGGAATAGAGTTGGAATCGTCTAAGGAGGAGTTAGAGGAGAACAAGGTGCCAAAGAGATTGGCTTTATCAGGGGGAGAGTTAGCTTTTGAGTTATCAGGTTGGAAGAGAGATTAGAATACCTATATTTGCAGTGCTTATACAGTACTAAAAGCTGGTAAGAGGTGATTTAATAGAACTATATTAGCACTTCAGAGGAAATTACTCAGTTGAGTGTTCATATCTGGATCTAGCAGATGGCTGATCCACTATAAATCATAGCCTGAGGTAAAGGAGCTACAAGTCCAAATAAATGTCAGCTAACTTTTCTGGAGTCTGAGTTGTGAACTCTTGGAGTAATCCACCAGAGTTTTGTGGAGGCAGTGCTTGCTAACAGTGTGTAGTAACAGAGGCGTGAACATCTATCCAATGCGGTTAATAGCCCTATCAGTGGCAGAGAAAAGTTTATCAGCATATTATCTTTATTTAGTCATTTCTGTGAACCATCACCAGTTTCATATTAATAATTTTCATGCACTTCCAACAGGACCATCAGTGTTGGCTGGCCTGGTGGTGTTGATACTCCTGGTCCCCATAAACAGTGTCATCGCTAACAAAATCAAGATGCTCCAGGGTTCTCATATGAAGTTCAAGGATAAGAGAATCAAGTTGCTGAATGAAATTATTAGTGGAATAAAAGTAATCACTTCTTACACATTCTAAAGTTCATTAGTTCGTGAAGGTATAAATGTTTTCCTATGTTCCTTCCTTTCTTCCTTCTTCTCCTTCTTTCTTTCTTTTTTCTTTCTTTTTCTTTATTTCCTTCCTTCCTTCCCTCCCTACTTACTTACCTACCTTCTTTCTTGGTGCGCTCTGGTCGGGTCGTGTTGCGTCTCTGTAACAAAGCGTGTTCAGCATTTGAGTCTTCGTTGTTGAGTGGCAGAAATTGGACGGTGATTACATAAGAACATCAAGATCGTCTTAGTGATGTGAAAGTGTAAATCACTGTAGGATTTTTAATGCTAGATGCGATTGTATTTTTGAAAACTCAATCTCCAATTATTTGGAGGTACAGCCCAGGACAAGAGGCCTACAACCACAAAATCATTGCAATATGACAAAACTTTTATTTTATTTTTTACGGAGTTGTGGTCACGGCTGTGATTAAGGCCAACCAGGGAGTGTAGTACTTTGCCTTTAGTTAAATCAATTCAGTGTCATCAATGACCGCAGAAGAGGTTGTAAATAACTTAAAGTGAATACATATTGGCAAGCAAGCTGGTAAGGCACCACTGCCAGCAGAAACCAAGTCGTGTTATAGGTGCCACAGAGACTTTTAATTTTATTTTGGTTGTGTGCTTTCTCAAGGACTGAAACTGTGCCTACAATACACCATTCACAGGGAGATACAGTGATAGCACAAAGAGATATAGTCGTTGATGAGAACGGGAAAAGAAAGTATAAGGAAATAATAGTTAAAATAATACAAAAATAAATAAATAAATCAACAAGCTATCCAGAAAGGCATTCTATTACCAGCCCAAAAAGTTTTCTTTTCTTTTTCTGTGTTTCTAAAGAACTGAGAAGGTGTATAAAATCTGTTATTCATAGCAAAATTCAGTATACATCGATACCCATAAATTGCCGAAGGGAACTGAAAAAAGAAAAAAGAAAAACAGAAGACAACTCTAAAGGCAACAGGGGAGGTTAAAGCCAGCAGAGAGCAGCTAAGTACTGTTTTTTTATCTTTATGTTTAAATAGGTGTAGATCTATACACTGGGTTTGGTCTTGGGTATATATTTATCGATCAAATGGGTCACTTTACTAGTGATGATATTCAGCGTAGTGTCTGCATTCTTGTGCCTTAATGAGTCAGGCCAGTGGATACCCCCTTCATCTCTTCCCTCATCCTGTTGTAATTTCCTTTGTAATATTGGCACCTTGGCCAGGCCTTATCTTGAACTAGGTTACAGTTAAATCTGAATGACTACACTATATGGTGACTGGTGCCAACTGGGGCAAGGTGTTCCAGTTTGGATAACAACTTTATTGACAAAGCTTGGAGCACAGTTTGCCTATTCTGAGTAATTCTGTCAGGTCTTGACACTGAGGCTGCTACCACTTCTCACTGCCACACAGGACAGAGGTTCATCCACAAAGGAGATAAAAGTATAGATCATATTCATTAATAGTACAGTATAGATCATAATTAAGAGAGCCCTACCACCATTTACTTTCGTGCAGAACACTAGTTCATATACAGTATAAGCCATATTTTATTTGAGGACTAATCAGTGTGGGCTAGCAAATTTAGAATAGACTGCAAGAATGTCCTCAAGCACACCCAATTCACTGTAGTAATTACATAGTTCATGATACAATAAGCCAGGTGGCCTGAAGTCTTTGACTGTTTTTCACAAAGTTTACATGCCGAGTGCTCTGTTATGGGTACAGTGCCGCTAACTTGCCAGGTTCTGGCCACAACTACATCACATTGTCTGGTTCTGTCCTTGTGCTAGCCATACCGGTACCTTTTGTCACAAAATTTTCATATTTACTAATTCTACAACTACCAGGTCTCTCTGCATTTTTCAGTTCTTCTAGATCAGAGTTCATGATTTTGACGTGAATGTTTTTAGGTACAGCATTGGGCAAGCCAAGCTCCTGGCTACATTTTCTTTCTTACATGCCTCATTGGCCAGTCTATCAGCACAGTTTTGATTTCTAATTCCAACATGGAACGGAATCCACACACAATCAATGAGAAGGTTGTTCACCTGACCGGTTATCACATTTATTTTAATATCACAGACAACTTTAAACATAGAGCCTGATGGTCTGTTTATTGATTCCAAAGCACTTTGGGAGTCAAAGAATATCACCTCGCCTCCATTTTCTTTAAGATAGTCTGTAGTTAAGTAGATTCGCATTAGTTCAGTTTGTGTTGCATTGGCCTAGTTGTTCAATCTTTGCATGTTTGACACTATTGTCTCATTTTCTTTATATACTACACATGCACATCCTATTATACCTGTATTTGTCTGCACAGAGCCATCAGTAAAAGCATAACATTCACTTCATTTAATGTTCTCGATGTGACTGTTAATAGTTTCTAGTGTAACACATCTCGCCACATTCATGTTTAACATTTGCTTACCACTAATTTGGAGTGTAATTAATAGAAAATGATATATCCAGCCAAAGAGAAATGGCATTAAAGGCTTCGTCTGGGGTGGTGAGGACATTCAATTTCAGGAGATCTGCAACACTTACAAAGCCATGCCCCATAGGGAGTCTTTTGTGGAAGGTTAGCGAGATAGTTAGGATTACTTAGATAGAACATCAACTCAGTTGAGTTGTAATTTGGGAACCATTGTTCTTCAAAAGTTTGACTTGGAGGTTCAGGTGATTACTGGTATCATATGAGGCACTCCAAGCAAGAACAAGACAATTGAGTTAAGTTTATTATTACATTGTACTTAATTCAACATTGTTAAAATTTAACTACATATTCTGGCATTGTTACTTTTGTTGCTTGTCTATTTCAAACCCAGAGCACCTCATACAGTAGGCTCTCGCCAATAACGACTTCCACAATAACGTTTTCGACAATAACGGTAAGTTACAATAGATACCCATTTTCGATAATAACGTCTGGATTCTCTTGAATAACGGAAATTTTGCAGGAAGCGTCCGAGCGCATCAATGATAGCGCTTGTTTGCCGCCATGTTGATGACGTAGTTGTCCGCTCCGCCTCACTCTCACTCATGCTCAGTGGAATACAACGCTGCTCCCACGTGTGAGATTTTCGCCACTATAACCAGTGGTTGTTAGGGTCGGTGATCAATAATGGCTTCTGCATTTTTGCCTGTGGGGGCTAGGGGAGGTGGTGGAGGGAGTAATTTGCCACCTGAATGACTGGGAACTTTTAAAGTGAGGAAATAGAACTGTCCTGAGTCTACAGTGCGAAATATTAAGAGGAACTTAGCGGAGACCAAGAAGAGTATTGTGCTGGCTAAAAATATTTCGGTAGTGATGGAAATGCGAGGCGAGCTATGAATGATAAAGGCAATAGAAACAGGTTGTTAGTGATAACAGAGCATTTTCTTGTGAAATGGTTAGCTTGTAGAATGAAAGACAGTGCAAGTGTTAGCGGCCCTCAGATACGGAACAACCATTACACCAAGCACCTCAAAAACTCCCCCAAGCTAAGTGTTATATTACTCAAACTCTTTATTTTGATGATTGAATAGCAATTCTTTTTATTTCAGCTAACAAAAAGTGTTAGGAGGGCTTCAAGGGGAAAAAATTGGTGAAATTCTTGTGGCGGTGGCACCAATAAACCCTTTTTACATGTATTTTAATGTCACACAAATAACGTTTTCGCTAATAACGGTGTTTTTCAGGCACCTATTAAACGTTATTGGTGAGAGCCTACTGTATATCTTGTGATATTTCTGTATATGTAAACAGTATTGTGTTGCAAAATTTTTATTCATTGTCCCAGTTATAATCTTTTGGAAATAGTCTGTATATAAGGTCAAGTATACTTGTTAATAGATCTAGATATGAGTGTGCTGGCGATTTCGTTTTTGTTTATGCTCATTCATTTACTGTACTCTACAGTATATCCTTTGCATTATTAATGAACTTTAATATAAACAGCTTGGTGTCATTATTCACTTGTCACTCTACAGGTACTGAAACTATATGCCTGGGAGGACTCTTTCAACAGTCAGGTGGAAGGTGTCAGGAGAGATGAAATCACAGTTCTGAGGAAGTCTGCTTTTCTCCACTCATTTGTAACCTTCATATGGCTCACAACACCATATCTGGCAAGTCAAGTTTTCAAACTAATGATTGTTCTATGGGTATTTTATTTTAACAAAATACAGTTTACACCAATAAGTTTGGCAGGCAAGCAGGCTTACTTTTAAGCATAAGAGGTAGTCCATACTTTATTAAGCTTGAAATGCAGTTTGTGGAGTGGTTGAATATACAGGTAAAGTATTTCATACATTTATTTCAGAGCTCTGAACTATAAAAGACTTTCATAGTTCAGTCCTTGATTTTTAAGTAGTTCTTAACCATTTTTTATGTCACCATCATTTATACAGTAAAGATGTTGTTACCTGTCTGCATGTTCTTCCTTTCATCTGGACAAAACTATATCCAGTCATTAAGTTAAAAAAGATAACATAGTCCAGAATACAGTACAGCTTTATTTCACTGATTCCTATGTTGAGGTTAATCAACATTTTACTAACGTTATACAGGTGTTCACCATTATATGATGGGGATAGGGACTTGGAAAAGCCATCAAAAAGTGATCGATCGTATATCGATATTGATAACTTATGGTTAAAAATTGTTTAGGCTCCCGAGACAAGCGTCAGAGTTATCACTCGGAGTGGGATTTTTTTCAACCCGTAATTTCAGGTAGATAATATTTCTTTATTTTTTTTTCTCTACTAAATACACACACAATCTTCCATACAGAATGTGCAAAAAAAATGAGAACAATAATCATAAGGTCAAAAATATAAAGGAATAAAAAATTCTATGTGCGAGCTGTGACCTGTGTTATGGTTACTTGTGTTCAATCCAGAATGAGACGTCTAGCTTTATACCTAGGTATGTAAATGCCTAGCATTAACTCGCCAGGCCAACATACAGGCAATTAAAACCTCTAATAATTATTTGAATACGTAATATTAGGAGGACACGTCACTACCTGGCATTTAAGTGCTATTCTTAAAACCCCCTCCCACACCCCCCATCACACGCATTGCCACCGTCATCTTCTTGACTGGCGAATCAGCTGTAAACACACACAAGGAAAGCTTCGCTAATTTATGTTGCAATAGCTGAAATATTAAGTGCCACGAGGATTTTGTTTTTGGTATTTATCATCTCAGCACGGTGAGGAAATTGAGTGACCTTTATTTTGATTACCGGTATACTGTATATAAATTTTTTCTTTGTCCAAATTATACACGTGCAAGTAATGAATACAGTGATCCCTCGGTTAACAAGCGCCTCGGTTAACGAGTTACCTCCCGTAAGATTCTTAACTTCGGTTAACGAGCAATCCCTCGATTAACGAGTTTCTTACGAACCCACGTCAACAAGTTTTCGCTTGCACTTGGCGGTCAACCAGCTGTAGTATTAGTTCGCCAATACAGTAATCGGTTCTAAGGCTTAAATTCCTTACTATTTTAGTAAATATCAAGAAGTTAATACTATTCAATAATTTTAAAATATTAATATTAAATTTTTTAGTCATTTTAACAATTATTGAACATAATTGACGGTAAAGTCACTAGTTTGTGGCGCGCCATCCAGCCTTTTAACACACCAAACAAGCGTTAGTCTCTCTCTGTTTTCAGTGGAGGTAACATCTTGCTTGAGACTCTCTTCAACTAAATGCTTTTTTTCTGTGTTTCCAAGCAAATTATTGGTCATTTTGAAATTTACTTTACATATTGACAATATATAGCGCAGTGCAGTGATATTTTAAAGAAAATGTTCTTTATTTACAGCTAGTTTAACTTAAAAAATCACGTGTTGACATTGTTTGAATCCAGCATGGGGCCTAAGAGATCAAGAAAAGCGATTTCAATCCAAACCAAGCAGGAAATTATAAAAAAAAACATGAACAAGGCATTAGAACAAATGTGCTTAGCAAAGAATATGACATGTCGACATCAACTGTGTCGACAATTCTTGGACAGAAAGACAAATTTAAAGAAGTGAAAGTGAGAGACAAATCTACCAGAGTGTTTAAAAGTAGATCCCTAATTGCTGAAACTGAGAGGTTACTTCTCATCTGGATTAGGGAAAAACAGATGAAAGGTGATTCAGTTTCTACTGACTTCATTTGTGAAAGAGCCAGGGAGATTTACGAACATTTAAAGACAGATCAACCTGGTTCTTCAGGCACAGAATTTGAAAATTTTCGGGCCAGCAAAGGCTGGTTCGAAAAATTTAAGAAAAGAAGTGACATTTTCAGTGTTGTTAGGCATGGTGAAGCTGCTAGTGCTGATAAGGAAGGGGCAGCAAAGTTTTTAGTGGAATTTAAAGAACTGATGGAAGAAGAAAATTATCTTCCACAGCAAGAGTTCAATTTGGACGAAACTGGGCTGTTCTGGAAAAAGATGCCCAAAAGAACATTCATCACCAGAGATGAAGCCTCTTTACCTGGGCATCAACCCATGAAAGACCATCTCACTCTATTGCTTGGTGCCAATGCTTCAGGGGATTTCTGACTGAAGCCTATGCTTGTCTACCAATCTGAAAACCCCAGGGTGTTCAAGTAACAGAAATTGGTAAGAGCAAAGCTTGGAGTTTATTGGAAGTCCAACCGTAAGGCATGGGTGACAAGACAGCTCTTTAATGAATGGGCTGTTGAGGTGTTTTGCCCTTCTGTCAAGAGCTACCTAACCACCAATAAACTCCCTTTGAAGGCTCTTCTCCTCATGGATAATGCTCCTGGTCATGACCCTGAACTTGCCAGAACTTTGGAGCATCAATTTGACTTTGTGAAACTGTTGTTTTTGCCTCCCAACACTACATCAATCATACAGCCAGTGGACCAGAATGTGATCAGCAACTTCAAGAAGTTGTACTTGAAGAAAATGTTTAGAAGGTGTCATCAGGCAACTTCCAATGATCATGAATTAACACTGAAACATTTCTGGAAGACACAATTCAACATCCTGGAGGCTGTAAAATTGATTGTGTCATCATGGCAAGAAGTCTCCACTAGATCCCTCAATTCTTCATGGAAAGCACTGTGGCCATCAGTAGTCCATGATTTTGAGGGATTTCTGGATGACACAGAGTTGGACAGAGATTGTGTCCATTGGTCAGTCATTGGGCCTTGAAGTGGAAGAGGATGATGTTGAAGAGCTTGTGATGTCTCATGAGGAGGAACTTACTCCTGATGACTTGAAGCAACTGGATGAAATGTTAGAGGCTGACATTGGTGAGGAGGAAATGGAAAGTGATGACCATATGTCAACTAAAGAGTTGAAAGATGTGATTTACCACTGGGAGAAGTTCAGAGAACTGGCTTCAAAGCACATAAATGTGGAAAAATCTGAACTAACTTTGTGTCATGTTGAGGACACAATAGTCTCCTTCTTTAAACATAAGTTAATGGTGAGGAGGAGAGATGCCCCCACAGACCACAATTGACACTTTCTTCAGTAAAAGGCAGAGGGAACAAGATGCTATCCCTCAGCCTTCCACTTCAAGAAGGAGAGAGGATGATGCTAGCCCTCAGCCTTCCACTTCAAGAAGGAGAGAGGATGTTCCTGGTGGAGAATCTGTCAGTCCAGAGGTTCCTGACATATTCATGGAAGGTGACTCACCTTCCAAGAAGCAGTAAAATGTTTCTCCTCCACTTCCTTCTCTTCTCCCTTCTCCTCCACCTCCCACTTCAAATTCACATCATCCTCATCATCCAGGAGCCTTCTACATACACACCTCAAAAGTAAGTGTAATTTTCTACCTTTTTTGTTGAATTTAGGCAATTTTCGGTGAGCTGGAATCAGTTACCCAAAAACCCATTGAAACAATGGTTTCGGTTAACGAGATTTTTGGTTAACAAGTAACCTGCTGGAACGGATTGTGCTCGTTAACCGAGGGACCACTGTACTGTATCATGATATTGTGGCCATCCCTTTCCCTCTTCTCATGTTCATTCATGAAACTTTTTGGGCTTCCTCCCTGGGTTTTCTGATTACTCTCAGCATGCAGGCCAGAGTTAAGTCTTCATAACTCTATTTTATTCATGTCCTCAGTAGCGGGTTCAGCCTATCCAGACGAACTTTAGCGGGGCTGCTAGTCCTAGTGATCCTTCCCGACGCTGACCTTCCAGTCTTACTAGCAGTCTAGAGTTATGTTGTACTACAGTATTACCCCGCCTAACGAGGTTTCACTTAACGCGTTTTATCATATACGCGGTGCCTCGCCAGAGCTGAACTTTCACTTAATACGGATTTTTTCCACATATACGCGGTGAGTGTCCGGCTCGAGACACTATTTTTAGATTTGCCCCACCCGCCACCCTGCCTGACTGCCTGTTTTAGCTCATAAAATTCATACAAATTACCCGGCCAGAATATAATTTACATTGCTGGAATTCTTATAATTTGGTGATCATTTTGAATATAAACAACATATATTTTGCATTAAACATACAATTTTTAGATAAAAATTTTTCTCTAGGTAACTATGTTATCTTTTGTGCAAAATATATGACATTTATATTCAAAATATTCCTGGTCTTACAAGGAATCCAGCAATGTCAATTATATTATCCTAACTTTAGTTTGAGGTATTATTTATTAAAATTTAGTGGTTATCCCACACATCTCCTTGGGACGGTTGGTGGGGGGTGGGGGGGAGGGAGGGACCGACCGACCATCTGTTACCCTGTGAAGAATTATTATTTTTTTTATTAACTGAAGATATTTGTTTTAGCTCATAAAATTCATACAAATTACCCGGTCAGAATATAATTTACATTGCTGGAATTCTTATAATTTGGTGATCATTTTGAATATAAACAACATATATTTTGCATTAAACATACAATTTTTAGATAAAAATTGTTCTCTAGGTAACTATGTTATCTTTTGTGCAAAATATATGACATTTATATTCAAAATATTCCTGGTCTTACAAGGAATCCAGCAATGTCAATTATATTATCCTAACTTTAATCTGAGGTATTATTTAATACTAAATGTTAAAAACTCTGGAAGGGAGGATTGGTGGGGGGTGGGGGGGAGGGTTGGGACTGACCGCGCGGTTGGAAGAGGGGGGG